CCATCCTCCACAGTTTTTCTTAGGTTACCCACTAGGCCCTAACCTAGGCCTACACAAACACACACCATAATTATTATTATTATTCCCTAATTTCTGGTAAAGGGCAAAGTAACCTTAACAACCTCTATCTGTCCCCAATTAACCTTAACAATCCTACCCAATCACATAAACCTTAATCATTTGTACATATGATTGATAATCTTTGCAGTAGGCCTTCTACCAAATTTTCATCATCACATTGCTTGCCATTATGTGGTCGGTCTAAACTACGATGTAACTTTTTTGATATTTAGAGAGAGTAATATTTATTTAAAAAGTCGATAGGAGAATTTGATTAAATTGAAAATTGGGTACAAGTGTGTACGTACGTACGTACGTACATTAACTTGGAGAAAAGGTGACAAGAAAGTTTTAATTCCATTAAAATGCTAATTCTATTGTAAACACTATTTTTTTGTAGTGAAAGTAGAATATCGGATAAAGATTTTCAATCAAACCACCTTTAGCCAATAAATAACATTTCCAATACCTGTCAAATACTTTTGTTGAGGTGCAATAAAGGGCATATAGTTTTCTTTAAACCCTCTTCCACTTGGTTCTCTCGCATTCTACATAACATAAATGTAATTGAAGTAGCTACAATATATGTTGAGGAGCCACTAGACTGGCTAAGTTTTTGAGAAGAGCCTGCCACAACAAAATTTCATGCAGAGTCCCTCGTTGCATTTTGTTGTTCTCAAATTTTCACTATGGATGAACAAAGAAGGAATAACATACAAGACAACCCATCCCCACCCTTCACACACCAAAAAATCATAAAGAATTAAAAGGATTAAAAGTTGTGGATGAGAGAAAATGCAATCAAGAAGACCCATTAAATTTGGTCTTTGTCTTCTATCAAATTTGGATGTGCCAATCATACTGCAAGCACCAAAAGAAGGGTTTTGCGCATTATTTTGAAGAATTTTTAGCAGCAAATTTTTTTATTTGTTGAGTCAGTTTGGCTGAGGTTTTGGATCCGGAAAGGGGGGACCGGGCTGGTGGGGGGCCACCTTCACGTACACTGATCATGTGATGTTAGTAGGAATTGAACTATAAACTATTGGGGTAGAACAATTATTACCCTATCGATAGAGAGAGAAGCAATAATTAATAACAACACAAAGACTTGTACACCTTTTTTTAAAACAAATTTTGAGAGTTGGAGTGAGGAAAAGGGGATTAAAATATCTTATGGAAGCTTCTAATGTTTCTACCTAACCCCTTTGAAAAAGAAACAACAAAAGGAAGATGTGGGGGAGGGGAGGGCTACTGTTTTTAGGGTTCTTGTTTCAAATCAGCTACCACCCAATATGTGTCCTTTTGCTGACAGTCATATATATATATATATATATTAAGTGACCTTTTTCGGGGTGTGTTTGGAAACTTTAAAAATAAGTTAGGTCAAATCTTACCTCAATTAATTACTACCTAATACAGAAGTAAGTGACTTAGTAAGCATATACCTACCCACAGAGACAGAGAGAGAGAGAGAGAGAGAGAGATCATTCAGTCTCAATTTTATTACAGACCCACCCCCATCTTTGGGGATTGTTCATATTTAAATAGTTATTGTCTTATCATATGTTGAAGGTTCATAAATGGAGCAAGAACCAGATCGAGTGGTCGTTCAGGTTGGACCCCAGTGACATAAAAATGAATTAATGGCGGTGGTTTGCAATTTTGGTGGTGGGTCTAACCCCTTAACCTATAACTAAGTTTTATTGTAAGCTTATAAAAGCTTTGATATATAGTGTGATGGCATTGTCTGAGATAATGCATGAAAACTGCAAGGAATATATTTCTTCTCAATTCCATTGACAAACCCTTTTGAGTAGGGCCAACTCCAATGCGAGGGAAGACCCAATCATTCCAAACAAAGTATAGAAAAAAAAAAAGAGGTACAACACATGGAGGGTGGAGGGACTAACTGTTTTACATGTTTTGCTTCCAAAGAAACTTACTACATCTCCGTACTCGTGCCACGGAGACATGGTGAACTTAATAAAAAGGAGAGCGTCGTACTTTCTTTTTTAACTCTTAACACTCTATTTGTTGTAATTTTCTTCGTAACACGACACAATTGGGTTAGTTTGTGTAATTTTTGTTGGAACTAGAATCACAAAATGTAAAAGGAGAGACAAAATTAACAAGCATATCTTTTTGATTCTTATCTAACATGTCAAAGCGGAGTTGTGGGCCTCACTCAAAGGCCTGGAACTTATCAGAGAACATGGCTTAAGGAGAGTGGAAGTGGAGACAGACTCCTATGAGGCATTCCTGTTTCTGTCACAACCTCTTAGTAAGGAACTGTGTCAAATTACTAGGGGAGACTGGCAGTATGATGAAGCATACCCTACGTGAAGGGAATCAGTGTGCAGATGAGCTTGCTAAACCGATAAATTTGTCAAGCTTGATAGGCTGCCAGGGCAAATTAGACATCTCATTGATGCAGATCTGGCTGGAGCTTCTTTTGTTAAAGTAACTTGGGATTTGTAAGTGTTTTCTTTGCTTTCATTTTCCAGTGTACCAAAAAAAAAAAAAAAAGCTAACATGTCCATGGTCTCATAGTTGATTCATAGAGTTAAAGCATTTGACAATTGGTGAAGCTCATTAACACCCATAAAAAAAAAAAAATTCTGCTACCAGAATTAACACCCATAAAAAATTCTGGTAGCAGAAGTTGACACTTCAAAATAAGGCAGCGTAATTGTGACATAGATAGATTGTGACATTGCAAAACAATTTTCACCTAAAAAAAAAGCGTTGATGGCGCCCATCTTTTTTGTTTCTTTTTTTTTTTTCTGCCATGCTTATCCCAACCAGGAATAAAGAACATTTTTGTTGCAATAAAAGCCATTTCGTTCTGGCTTTTTGTTTGATTTTTCACCCTCAATGTGTGGAACAAAGACCCTCTGCTTGTCTATTATATACAATACCAATGCATTATTAATTATATGGCCAACACAAAACTACTAGTCAAAAAATAATATCTCCACAACATCATAACCTCTAATGTGAGGGTTGAAAATGTTTTGCTTGTTCTCAGCATAGAACTCGCAATTTGGCAAATATCACTACGATATTTAGAAGCTCAAAACTGCAGTTCTATAACAACAGCAAAACCCCGCATTTGGACAACCCAAATTCGGATCCATTATACTGTAAATCAAAAAAAAGTCACACTGTTTTTTTCGAGGGGACTTGCTGTTGAATTTGCCATTGATTTGAGTATGATAAATGTATCAGAGAGAAAATGAAGAGGAACAAAATCTAGGTAATTAGGTTTTCCAATTGTACATGCTTGGGTGGGTAGTTCATGGGTATGATAATAATTGTTAGGTTGGTAGACAAAAGGTCCTACGGAAAGCAGTTAGTTTCTTCACGCATTTTATATAGTTTTTAGTGCTTTTATTATATTGGAAGAGATAGGTTACCCACCTCTCCCTCTCCTTTTCTTCTCATCCTCTCACTGCTTATCCGTTGCACCCCCCATATGCAAAAACCCAATCTTTTTCCAAAGAAGATAAACCCAAAAAGAATCTATTATTAGAAAAAGAAAAAGCAATGAACAGAAAATAGTCTAAGGAGGCCCTCAAAATTCTCTCCCTCACATGAATCATCAACATATATATCGAAAGATTCATCACAAAGGCACCAAAAGATAAAGACGGAGAAAATGAAAAGGAAAAAAAAAAAAAAAGAGCTTTTTGTAAGATGGAAAGAGAGAACCTCAGTACATGCATATGTTCTTAGACGAATATTGTTCTGAACATCTTGTATTAACAACACGAGTAATGCTAGACTAATTGAAAAAATTGAATAAATAATAAATAATAAATAATGTGACATTGATATAGTGAATAAAATACACGACTATTTGATCATCACATCATTTAATCGCTTTTCTTAGTTGGATAACACATCCATCTTTTCTTTTTAACAAAACAAATAGTACCACTCTCTCCAGTTTCCACCCATATGGACCTCAGTAATTCTATCTCTACTTGCTGCTAGCAATAACGTTCTGCAACAACCATACCAAGAGTACGAAACTCTATTGAAAAGGAAGAAAACTCATACCGAGAAACAAACAAAGCAATTGCCCCTCACTCAATAAACGCAAAACATTCACCAAATTTTCCAAATCATAATCGAATGGTAATCTGTACTGGTATTATATTGCTATGTAACTTATAGAGGTTTACAAACAAACAAGAGAAAGTCAGAAAGATTTTAACCTAATACCACTCTCTTCCTCATTTCTTTCTTCTCTGTCCTCATCCCTCTCCCTTCCCTCCTTTTTTTGATACATAACTCAAACCCATCCATATTCCCTTCATCTCCAAGCTTCTGTAGTCCAAGACACCAGTTTTCAACCCTAGGAAGTCATAACCAGAGCTACTGCTACTGGTACCACTACTACAAGTGCAATCTTTGCTATTTTGAATTCCCAAGCTGCAAGAAAAACATATAGTACTAGTCCTCCCTCCAGTCTTCAATGGCTCAGATTGTTGGTGATAAGGAGGACTAATTCTCAGCTCAAGGTTCAAGTCAGGACACAGTTCGCGAGCCGGGCTCTTCTCTTCTTTGCATACAAAACCAGTAGTCATCTTCTCTTCTTCTTTAGAAGTTGCACTGGCGAAAGATATGGTTGTGACTTCCTGCGCAGGCTCGTTGATTGGCCGGTGAGTCGCTGGATCGATGCCACGACCCTGAAGCTTTCTTCTTATATGGGTGTTCCAATAATTCTTTATCTCATTGTCTGTTCTTCCTGGTAATCTTCCAGCTATAAGAGACCACCTATAAAAATAACCGTAAAACCTCGTTAATTCAAAACTAGCAGACTTGTAGAAGAAGGATAATCAACTAAGTATAGATTTTTGATGAGAAAATATTATGGATTTTAGACTTACTTGTTACCAAGGAGACTATGAAGTTTGATTATGAGCTCGTCTTCTTCTTCTGTAAAATTCCCACGTTTGAGGTCAGGCCTCAGGTAGTTGATCCATCGGAGACGACAACTCTTGCCGCATCGGAGAAGCCCTGCGGCCTTGGGAAGTGATCGCCAGCAACCTTCGCCGTGAGCTCTGATATAAGCGATGAGCCGATCATCTTCTTCTTTGGTCCATGCTCCTTTATTGGTATGAGCTTTCTCGCAGCAAGGTGACCTTCCCATGTAATATTGAAATTACAAGTCAATTTACTAGCCAAGGCTCAGAGATTTTCTGTTTTTCTTTCTCTGTTTGGTCGTTGCTGTGATGATGGTGTAGAAATGGAACTCTAGCCTTGGAGGTGCTTGTGCATCAAGGCCGGCCCTTTTGAGGTTTGAGGACTTGAAGTTGGATTATATAGGATTTTGACTCCTATTGGGGGAGGAGAGAGAAAAGTTACCCTAATTGCTTCTAGATGTGAGTTGGTGAGACAGGTTTGAGGGAGTGGCTGGTGGCCTCTCTCTTGATGATATTGGCGTCATATATCATATACTATATAAGTTGGAAGGGACATTAACTATGGGTAACCTTCAGGTAGGTATAAAGTAAGGCATTAAATTATAGCAATTGAGTCAGTGATCTCCACTTTTCTTTTGTCAAAACTCTCAACAACCTTGGATTAATAATTTAACAAACCCTCTGATCAAAATCTTTCCAACCCAATGGACCACATGTTCTGGGTCTTCTTTTGTGTGTCATATTGTTGAAACTAACATCCACAGTGCTTTGTGGTTACTGGTTAGGTCTCCCTCGATTATTTGGGTTAGACTATAGTACAAAAAATTTATTATTTTCGTTACCGTACTTCATATATCCGATCCGATTATAATGATATTCATAGAAAGTTTTATTATTATATTATTTATTTTATTTAATTATTTTCATTTTTTTGTTGATATGAGAAGCATGAACCAATTCTCAACTTCAACATATAAATCGAGTTGGATGCAGCAATAGTACACTGATGAGACAGTATCCAGTTATTTTAGTAAGTTAGTTGTAGGAGGCACTTGGAAAAGCAATGTTCAAGTGGGTTTCGGTATTCTTGTGCATCTAAAAGTTTATAGGCAGGAGATGGTAGTTGTTATTCGAAAGAAAAAGAGAAGAATAGAAAAGGGGATGAGTGTGGTTGTGGTTGTATGTGGGCTTTGGTTCACCTTCCACTTCCTGTTTTCTTTTTTTCTTTTTTTTTTTATCACCAAACCTTATGGGAGGTTAATTCATCTTTTTGTTACTATATCCTGACAATTTGCTCATATTATTTGCTACCCTTCCCCATACATGATCTCTCTCTCTCTCTCTCTCTCTCTCTCTCTGGGTGTTGGGTTGGGTTTTGGGGGGTTTTCACCACTCAATCTTCTCATAAACTTGGTTATGATGGATCTGTGGGTGTTGGGTTTGGGGGGGAAGGAGGGCTTTCACCACTCAATCTTCTCATAAACTTGGTTATGATGGATTTTAGAGAGAGAGATAGAGAGAGGTGTCCACTTGTGTAATTTCATGCGTTTATTTTACCTACCTTTTCACTTTCCCCGACGGTCATGGTCCAGAAATGGCTCCACCTTTGATGTCGAACCATGTCAAAGCTTGTGAAATAATTCCCACCCCTGCATTATCTGCTTTTCGGCAATAGCCCAACAAAGCTTATCCATGTAATTTCTTTCAAAATTCAAGCCAAGTGCACAACAGTTCAAAGCTATCCACATTCTGTTCAAAAACAGAGAAAGCCAAAATCAACATAATTTTGAAAATATTTAGGTGGAGAGATGATTGTAGCGTTACCCTGTTTCGACCCGATCGCAACAAGGATTGCATTAATTTAGGACCAGTGTTCACAGATAGTTTTATGCGCAAAACGATCAATTCAGGGCAATGTCTAAGGTCGAGCCTTACGAGTCATAAAATGGTTCCCGGATTCCCTCTTCCTTTTATTTCGAAATATGTTAGATTCATCGTTATAAATAGCAATAAATCATAAAACCCAGAAAGGGAAATTACTGGAATTAAAAAAGAAATCGAAGATTAGCATTACTTAACTGGTTGGAGAACTTGAGGGCATGATCTGTTTATAGGGTAGGCAATAATCTGAAAGTATATGGTGACAGCCAGCTCAGCAGCTCGTGGATGTCAAGTGCTTAGGTATTGGGCAAGACTCGTGGGGCTGTCGTAAAAACCTTTTACCTACCTTTTGGTTGTTCTTCCTCCTCTCCCATGTGAGGTCACTGAACCTTAGCTGAAATAGTCTGTATCAACTGACCCACACAAGGTGGATAAAGCTTCAAAAATGGCATCTTACAATTTATTCTTTGGTATTTGCTTGAATATTTGACATAGACACCCACTTTGGGATCTTCTAACTATACCTCTCCTCCTTCAATTTAAAGCCTATTTCCTTTTTTTTTTGTCGACATATTAATTCATACATGTTTACAACTTGGGGAGGGGCTGCAACGGCAGCATTTGACCCCTAATATTAAGAAACTAGAGATTAATTCCCACTGGATCAGTTGAGTTTCGTGGGTACTGAGTTGTAATGCAAAAATTTTATGTATTTCAACTTTAGAAGAATTTTTTTTTTGAGCAAAGTGGATCTGACCATGTGATTAATGAACTACACATCCTCAAACACGATGCGAGTCGAGTCTCACTAGTCTCATAATGGTTTCATGGCCAACTGAGATAGGTAAACATATAAAAGAAGTTTTTGATTTGGGGGTAGTTGGTAAGTTGGATTACAAGAAACCAAGTACATAATGACAACTAGCAAGACCCTTTACCCTACTCTGCAAAATCCAGAAAGAATGATTGCATGCCTGCCTTTGAGATTGTTGGGTAAGTAAGGAACCCAACCCGACAGCTCAATTATATGCAACATGGAACAGAAAAAAAAAAAATCAATGACTCATAAGTAGGTTGTTTTATTGAATTTTAAGTTACGGAAACAACATCTTTGTTTGAAGAGATAAAACTGTATATTTAATCCTCGGTAAACTCTATAATGACAGAAAATCTGTGCACTGAGTACACCCTTTTAACTCATAATTATTCTACAGATATAACCTCACCAATGTTGTGAGAATTGAGATGGATTAAAACTAACAAGAAATATGACAGAGGAAGAGAATAGTGATAAGAAATTCAAAACGTAATCAATGCGATTGACTAATTTTTCACTTGGCAAGAAATGTTCACTGGCATCTTTCAACTAATACATCTAGGTGGCTCAAGTGTATTTAAGGCATCTAGTGTGTGAACTTGTGACTATATAAAAAATGAAAGCATAAATATAGCCAGTTGTGTGGTAGAGATGAGCTTTATGCCCACGTTTCATACAGGACAGAGTATTGTGAAATTCGTAGAAAACCCATTAGGCTAACCAAACTTTGATTTATCTGGCATCAATTAGCTCAGTTTCAGCTTGATTTAAAATCAAACTAAGAGTCTATATTAGGGGTGTCAATCGTGTCGTGCCATGTCATTTTCGTTCGTTTTATTTTTATTTGTGTCATTTTCGATACGTGTCGTTTCGTGTTAATAAAAAAATTCTTAATTTTACATCAACTCATATAATATTATTTAAAAAATTTTAAAAAAATATATAAAATATTAATTTTTTGTCTACAGCACTTGTTATTAAATATTTATTTTTAATTTAAATCACCCATTAATCGTATTATTCGTGTCTAACATTAATTTGATTAATTTATTACTCGTGTTAAATAATCATGCCATTTTTGAATTTTGTGTCTTGTCGAGTTCGGATCAAGTTTATATTAATGGGTAAAATTGATGCTCTTAGTCCATACTCAACCCACCTACTCAACTAAAATGGGCCAGGTTCCAATTGACCCAGAAACGAAACACAGGCCTCTACCAGGCCTACTTTCTCAGTAACTGTAGGCCCTCCATAAAAACCAATCCAACACAAAAATACTCATACTCACAAACAACTGACCAAAGGCAAAAACACAAAAGCATAGCCTACCACCATACACCAAAACCCAAAACCATTTACCCCTAAAACCCAGCACCTATGGTTGCAATCTGGACTCCATTAGAATATAGAAGGGAAGCTGATAGAGGCGGACAATAAGACATAAGTGGAGGCACAGAGAGAGGCGTTGACTAAGGGTGTTCAAATTTTTAATTATTCATAATATTTTACCATACTCGCCAACTCTATTAATCGACTAATCGAAAAAATCAAGTAAACATGCAAATTACCCATCAAATTTTCGTATTCCTATAAACTAAAAATCATAAGTTCCTAACGCCTCGTTGCCTTCTCATTTCACCTCTCTCGCCTCTCTCCCCTCTCTTGTCTCTTTGCTCAGTAGCTCGCCCTCTCTGTTAGACTTCATAGCTCAGTAGCTCGCCCTCTCTCGCCTCTCTATTATAAGTTCTCTCTAGCCTCTTTTTGAGTCCCAGTCTTTCAGGTACTCTTCCTCTATGTCTCTCTTAGAGTTGACTGTTTGGAAACTATTTGATGCCAACAAATCGATGGTCTCAAGTAATGATTTCTTCGAATCGATGGTCCTAGGTCAGTTGGTGGTCGGTGGTTTTGCTTTAGGGTTACAAATACTATGGTTTTTGAGATTGTATGGTTCTGTGCTTTGTCTCTCTCTCTCATTAACTGTTTAGGGGCAATTTCATACTATCGAATCAACGGTCCTAGATACTCCGTTTATCGAATTGATGGTCTCAAGTGGTACTCCATTGATGTTTTTTTGAGATATTATGACTCTGTGATCATAGTATATGATTTTTAAGATTTTTTCTATAATTTTCTAAGAATCTAAATTATAGTATATGTTGGTACAGATTACTTAATTAAATTGTTAAAATGATTCAAAAATTAATAAATATAAAACATGTTCACCCGACTTTCAACCCCGATTAATTAGGACAAAATTCGGGTAGAAATATTGCACTTGATCAGGTAGGGTAGGTAAAAAAAAAGTTATTCCACAAAATATTGAGTAGAAAGATAAAAGACCTTATTTTTTATCTGTGAGGTAGGATGAATACCTCTAACCTCAAGAATGATAAATCAAGAGGGGAAATATTTGATTGGAGTGAGGTGAGGAATAAAATTATGTTAGGCCTCTTTGTTTTTATACCTTGATTTTAATAAAGATTTTAAATTTAAATTTTAACAATCTCTTAAAATTAGGTTATAAGAGATTTATTGTCATGAATATCTTAATTCTGACGTGAATGACCTCCCTTTAATAAGGCTGGAAAAGTGAATAATTGAAGTACACATTAGTTTACCATCACTGTTAAACAAAAAAAAATTTAAATCGGATCTGAATTATCTTGGCCAATCACATCCAAGACCCTGAAAAATGGAACAAGTGGCCTCTTACTGTTTGAAGAAGAGTAAATTTGATATTATATTAAATTATTAGTCATTATCCGTGCTTGAAAGGCACTACATTACTTATAAAATTTTAACACATAGTGATTAAATTAGGTTTGAACATTTTTTGTTGGTGCAATT